GCTCGGCCGGCCATAAGCTTAGTCTCGAAAGCTTATCGGACGGTTCCCTCGTACGCGGTGCACGTGGGTCTTATCGGACGGTCACGCGGTGAAGCAGTAACCTGGACACGTGGCGTGTAGTGATTCAATAAGTCGATAGCGTATAATAACGGACGATGCGCGGCCGCGAGTTCAGCGCGCAGCCGGGAGTCGGTGCGCAGTCGTGCCGTTACATGTGCGGCTCTTCTTCGGGCCAGGCAGTTGCGCCCCTCGTCTTCGACAATTGGGAGGACATCCAAGGCAAGCCACACGGACAGTACCTCAGGCCCAGGAGCAAAACGAACGAGTCCGTGGACTCGGGGATGCAGCCGAACATCTTGATTCAGATCACAGTCAGCAAGCGGCACGATCTGAAACCTGGCGGTATGAAGAGAGCGTTAGAGTTCTTGGAGAAGAACGGGCCCGGGGCTGTCGAGCTCTATTTCGCACTTCCATCGGATGCCTTCAAGAGCTTCTCAAGGACAGAGATCAAGCCAGCTGCTGTGAACAGCGCAGTCAAGCAGTTCGCGCTGGAAGTCGGCTTCTAGTAGTCATACGCTGCCCTCCCGTAGTCTCAAAAAGATGATGAGAACATTGAGGTCCCTTGCGCTCTAGGTCAATGCAGGTTTTGGATTTGTCATGATCAGACACTTAAATTCAAAAGGGACTCGTGTGTAAAATTTGATACATAGTTGTACATAAACACTATATCTTACGGACGCTAAGCGGAACCACCTGGATTACAAGAATGTATAGGACATGAGCGCAAATTTGTTTGTAAGCATGTGAGGGGCTCGGCAGCAAGAGGGGGCTTTGCAAGTGCTAAGTGAGTCGATATTGTACAAACAGAATATTAAAGGACTTTGTGTCATCATAGAATCATGAGATTCGGTGCCAAAGGCCTCCAAGTAGATATACATGTAATAAAGAACTGTTTCGACCAATAAGGAGCGCATTGCCATGTTCCTAAATACGCATCCTAGTGATATGTTGACAATGTGTAGGTTGCATGCATACGTACGAACAGATTAGCCAGGAAAACGAGCGTGTTCACTGGGGCGGCTATCTAATAGGAGAGAATTTCCAAGTAAACAATGCTATGTCGTGGATGGTCACTTCTTTTATACACGCTTAGGCACCTGGGCTCATGGCGCAATTTCGGAGTTCGGGCTTCTTCAAAAAAAAGTTCTTTACTAGTTACCAAGCAGTTACTAACAACAAAGCAACATGACTAACATGACATGCTACCTCATCATGGCGTAAGTACTGGGTATCAAAATTAGTGGATCAGTACCAAGGAAAGCCTATTACTGCCCTCGGACGGCCATGTGCTGCAGCAAACCAAATGATTTCAGCAAAAAAAATATGGCCACTCAAGGGGCGCCACGTCAGCCCCCCTCGGCAGTGCGGCCATACCCGGGTACAATAAGGGTACGCGGCCGTCGTTTCAGCGAGACAAGCTGAGCTTGATCCAGCCCCGGGTGCGACCACCGGGGGCCCCGCCCCTCGTAGTATACGAAGGTAGATAGCTGCATGGCCATTACCGAGGTCTTTCAAGTTAACCGTACCTGTTACCAGTGTGACCAGCTCAACCCCCAGGCTCTAGTTGCTCCATCCTTGCCTCAGCTGGCGCTGTGGCACTCAATGTCATTGTGAATCATGACAATGATATATCAGAGGCATGATTTCATCAGCCCACAGTAGCTGTCCAGTGTATTGGCAATTCACTGTGTGCCCTGTCATCTCAGTTTTCACATGATTTGCTGCATGCTTGCATTTGATTTAGATATTGAACGTCCAACATGACACAACCGTAAGTGCGGTTTCAGCAACAACATCATGCTGGCATGCTTTCGCTTTATTGTTCATAGAAGCTTCCGGTTAATGCAGCATGGATAAGGCTACGCGCGAAGTCGATATGGGGTTTCCGGTCCGCGACCGACCCGGATTTTAAATTTTTTTGGGAAAACCGACATAAAATATTCTCAGATTGCCTCTCAGGGTCTTCAATTATATGCAAAAAAAAAATTGCCCGTACGTTTTTTCATTATTCTAAGACATATCTATATATTCCTTTGTCTTATTATAACATTCTCCAGTAGCATATGCTCGAAAGTTTCAGAAGTCAGTTCAACCAGCAGCAGAAACCACGAACCACCAAATCTGAGCATATTACGATCGTACATAGACCCAAATATAATTGAAATATTGCCTGGGACGTCGAGCGACGGGTGAAGCCGGTGAACCTCGACACCCGAAAACTCACGTACCGTATTTGTTTTCCGATCGATCATACGGTAATCTCGGGATATTGACCACCTGTAAAGAAAGGCTCAGGGCTTGCTTGAAAACCCTAAAACGCGTTCGATCCTAGAGCAGATTAGGTGGGCCCCCAAAATCCCGAAAATGCACTGGATTTTCCAGTACAAACCCCGAAATTTTGCACCTGGACTCCAATATAAGGTCCCACAAAACCCCGAAAATGCTGCCAGAATTGACCCCAAACCCCGGATTTTCATGCATCTACGAAATAGAACATAGGACGTGCACATGACATGCGAGAAGCAGGTTTTAACATGAGGTTTGAAGATTCAAACCCCTTGATGAAGCTACGAGAGTAGGGCGAGATTGCTATACTTGGATCTAACATGTTGACGAAGCATCTTTAAAAGCTCAAAAACCTCGTAACACATATACTACACGATACGTTGAATCGTTGAGATTGAATATAAGGTTCAACATGTAATTGACAAAGTCATCAAGACATTGAATCATAAGGTGATTGCTCGTATCATGCAGAAGTCTGGAAGTTTCGCAAACGACTTCGAAACAAAATTGTTCGAAGCTCCTGTGTCAAATAAGATGTTAGCTTTGGTCCCAGCTGCTCGACCAGAAAACATCATACGAGAGTAACGTTTCTTGTTCT